GCTGTAAGTTCCTCATAGCTTCCCTGTATTTTTTGGTAATCCTCACTGAGCTCATTGAGTGTTTTTATAACAACTATTTTGAACTCAGTGTCTAACAGTTGACTTGTCTCTCTTTCATTTGGCACTCTTTCTGGGGATTCTTTCTTTCCTTTCAATTGGGGGTTGTTTCTTTGTCTTCCCATTATTTTTGAGACACTTCTTGTTTGCTTCTTAAATTGATCTGTTTTGACTTCCTGACTTGTGGTGTGAAATTCCTTGGTAAGAGACCTGTAAGAGTCAGTGGTGCAGTCTCTTTGATCTCCTGAGCCTGATGCCCTTGGGATACCCTTTATGCCTTTTATGCTGGTTCTCTGAATGTAATTGGGTTTTGACTGTTGTTGGATCCTTCTCTGGTGGGTCCTTCCCTCCAGATGGTTGACTGAGAGTCACTCTACCCACCACATCTTGTGTGCTCTTGTGCAGGTGCTGCCAGAACAATACCACAAAGCCTAGGAAACAAGCCCACGCCTGAAAAAATAACTCTCCCAACAATCCCACTATCAACAGCAAAGAAGCCAGTATTAACAAGGATGTAACAAGATTAAGACTATTATAAGAAAGGAGAGCAGATATGAGATGACCTACTGAATGAAAAGTGATTTTGAGAGGGTAGATAAGATTTGGGAGTTGAAGCAGTGGGAAGAGAGAAGGTAAAAATTACATCATGAATAAAAAAGGGAATGAAGAATGTGGAAAGGAGTATGAGAAGAGAAGCATATAGTATTAGGTTTAAACAGAAATTAAAATAAAGTGAGAGAAAGAAAAAGGAAGGAAAAATAGTAACTAATTAATAAAAATTTGGGAGCCAAATTTGGGAGAAAGATCCACTACAATACTATCAACAGTAAATGAGCTAAAATTAATATAGGTGGAATGGGAGTGAGAGGAAAAAAGAAACAAAAGTCTAAGAGAAGTTTAGAGAAATAGGATGTGATTTTGAAATGATAGAGAGAGGGGAAATACTAAGGATGAGGAACAAAAACCAGGCTAAACAGGGGAAAATTCAAATTTGGAATGTAAGGAAAAAGAAAAAAAAGTGATTAAAGACAAAGAAAAGGGCAGGATGAAAGAGAAATAGAAGAAAGGCAAAAGAGAAAGAAACAGTCTAAGATTGCAAAATTAAAATTTCAGGTAAAAAAGAGTAGGAGAGGGGATCAGTAAAATTTGATATTTGAAATACAGATATTTCAAATATTAAATTTTATATTTGAAATTAATGAAGATCTAGACATAAAATTGATAAAACAATACAATAACAACTACCCCACCCACAACCAACTAGCAAAGATTGTTAAAGGTGGAGAGAGAGCATGAGTATTTTTAGAACAGGTAAAAGGATGTGAGATGACTCTTGACAAGAAAATTGGTTTCGTGTGTCTGGACGGGAGAGAAATAATAAGGCTGCAGAATAGAAACAAGTTGTACCAATAGATAAAACAAAATCTGAAATGAAAATAATGTGAGGCAAGAGGAAGGTAAAATGGGCTAAGAGGATGGAAGAGCAAAATATGTGATTTGAATACACTATAGTATAAAACCTAGTGACTTAATATGTACAAACTTGCTGGACAAGAAATGAATGTTAAAAAGCAACACAGGAAAGAAAATATCACAGATCATGGAGAAGACTACAGTGGATCTCGTCTCAATAACCTCTGTATTTACCACTGTTTTTTACTTTCTGTATCTGCCTGTGGTGATGCCAGGTATTGACCCCATCTGACCTTAGGCAGCCTATTTTATATGTCCAGTAATCTGCTGTCCTTGGCTGTCTCCTTCTGTTGTTAATCTACTCATTCTGCACTCAGCAGTCAGGTTTAAGCATGTAGGGGAGGGCCAAATCCCTCCTGTGGTGGGGGCTATTGTTTCCCCTCAGGCTCTTGCTGCTCAGAGGGGAATGGTCTGCCTGAACACCAGGGCTGCTGCCATCAGAAGGATGAGTCAGCCCCAGGATGCCAGCGTCTGTTCTCTCAGTCATCTGCCCAGAGCTTCAGTCCTTAGTCTCTCCTCAAGTATTGCCAGCTCACTCTGCTCTCGCCTTTGCCAGAGCCCAGGGTAAGTGGCTGCAAATAAAAATTTGTGTTGTCTCCATCATCTGTCTCTGCATCTCTGCAACTTTTTTTGGTAGTTGTTATATGTGTACTTTTTGAGCTCTGGTGCTCTAGGCTGAGTATCCTGGCTTAAGGTTTAGACCCCATTCTTCTCAGAAGGATCTAACCAGCTGCTTCATTATCCCTCCTGCATTGCCACTTGTGGGTAACCAGCCAGCCCCCCTCAAGTCTCTGCTAGACTCTGTACCAGATAGATTGTGCCAAAGCTAATTCTTCTGTCTGTCAGAGGTTATATGGCTTCTCTCTTGCTATTGTTTAGTTGTTTGTTCTGAGTGGTTTCTCCAAAATTGAGTTGTAATTCCAGAATGTCTCTGGGAGGAGGTAAGTATGACATCCATTCACTTTTCTGCCACCTTCTCCAAGCTTTCCACCTGAAACTTTCTAAAAAAATATTTTGTTTATTTATCTTTAGAGAGTAAGGGAAGGAGAGAAATGTCAATGTATGGTTGCCTTTTGTGTGTCCCCTGCTGGGAACTGGCCTGCAACCCAGGCATGTGCCCTGACTGGGAATTGAACCATAATCCTTTGGTTTGCAGGCCTGTGCTCAATCTACTGAGCTACACCAGCCAGGGATCCACTCGAAACATTCAAGTGAAGTAATCCTTAGTTTAGATATGTAATCAGTTGGGCAAGTAAAATATTGGAAGACCCATGAGAATTCTATGCTACTCAATATCAGGCTTCTTTTAGGATTGTCTGGTAAGTTTTTTCTGGTCCAAATTTCAATTGCCCAGGCTTTATGACACAAACTTCCAAATCTCAAAATTATACCATGGGGATGTAAAGAGCAACATAGGGTATATAGTTAATAACGTAATAACTATGTATGGTGCCAGGTAAATACTAGGAATATAAGGGGGAACATTTTGTAAAGCACATGATGGTCTAACCACTGTGTTCTATATGAAACTAATGCAAAATAATATTGAATGTAAACTATAACTGAAAAAAATTTAATCTCAAAATTATGCCAGTTCAAGCACATTAATAGATCCAGTCTTTCTTTTAAGAAACATCTTGACCTTGCCCCCAGATATTTATGTAATCTGCCTTCCTATGGAGGTGATGTGGTTCTCTGTCTGCTTTAGAATACACCTATGTGCCACTGCTTATCTGGGGTTCAGGCTCCTGAATCCTATACAAATTCACACAGTATGTAGGCACTTCAGACACTCATCAGAGTTGATAGCAAATATTTAAGAAAAATAATGAAAAGAACAAAGGAGAAAAAGTGATGAGTGAGTGTAGTTTGGCTACACTAACATCTTCCCTTGGTTCCCTATACTCTAGTCACTCATCCACTCCACAAATATTTATTGAGCACAAGCACCATGATCTGCACTGGGAATAAGGTAGTGCACATGACAAATATGGCTCCTTCCTTTATAGACTATAATATAAATTCCATGAGATTATGGAATGGTCTGTTTTATAAAATGTTTCACTCACAGAGATTAGAATATTGCCTGATCTACAATGTCAAAAAGACAGACATTAATAAGGAAACATCAGACTTTAAAGTATATATTGGAATAAGTGCAATGAAAAAATTATTTAGTATTTTCTTAATACTGAAGTATATTTTGTATATGATAAAATGAACAAATATTAGGTATACTATTTGAAGAGTTTTTTTTCTGTGTAACCATCACCTAAATGAAAGCCTGGAACATTTCCACCATCCCTAAAGTCTCCTCATGTCCCTTTTCAGACAATAGCTCACCCAGATTCTTATGCCAAACATTTGGTCTGGTTTCTATCACTACAGGTTAGTTTTGCCTGTCCTTAAAATTTATGTAGATATGATCAGACATTATGTAGTCTTTTATACCTGGCTATTTTACTCAGCAGAGTGCTTTTAAGATTCATCCATGCTATTATGTGTACCTGTAGCAATTGTTTCTTTGTATTGCTCAATAGTAATCTATTGAGTGAATAAACCATAATTTGTTTACCTATTTTCCTCTTGATGGATACTTGAGCTGTTTCTAGCTAAGGGCTATTTTGAAAAATAAATGCTATAAACATTCTTGTACAAGTCATTTGGGGAAATATGTTTTTAGTAACTCTCGGGCTGGAACTTAAGAATGTGTATGTTTAGCTTTATAAGAAATTGCCAACATTCCAAAGTAATTGTATCATTTTACTGTCCCACCAGCAATATTTGAGAGTTTCTATTGCTCCATGTTGGTGCCACCTTGATATTGCCAATTTTCAAATTTTAGCCATGCTAACATACTATCTCACTGAAGTTTTTACTTGTATTTCCCTGATAATTAATGATATTGACCATCTTTTTGTGTGCTTGTTGGCCATTCTTAGATCTTCTTTTCTGAAGGGACTATTCAAGACTTTTGTGTAAATGTATTAAAATATGCATAACATAAAATTTACCATGTTAAACATTTTTATGTATACAGCTCAATAATTTTAAGAACATTGAGATGTTGTGAAACAAATCACCAGAATCCATTTTTTTTCCGGTAAAACTGGACTCTGTACCCATTAAACAACAACTCTCCTCTTTCCTAAGCTCCACGGGCCCTTCTTTTGCCTCTGTTCTAAATAAACTTTTTCTTTTAGTTTGAAAATATTTAATTCTACCTCCACCAATTTGTCTAGTTTTAATTATTATTGAGTTTTTAAGATTTTTCTTGAATTTTCTCTCAAGTAGCCTTAAAAGGAAAAGGTCTATTCCATGGGTTTTAAAGGAAAAGACTTCCCCAGACATATTTAAGTAAATAGGTTTTGATATCTTGGTTAACTAAGTGCTGAAAAACATTCTACAATTATTTGATTTGAACATTATTTGCCCTTGAAAATGTAGTACATATCTTTTGTGTCTTTCAGAAACTAAAACCTGTATTTGTGCACTCTAAAATGAACTTCGTGATGGATTCTACATCTACTGGAACTGATAATCCTGCTTCTTTGGTAGGTAGATTATTTCCCCCCATTAAACATTTAACCAGTCAATATTATTCATCCTCAGTAATGAAACTTTCTGGTTTAATCTACAGATACACGGCAAGTACTTGGACACAGGCAGTGATCAGAAATCCTTTCTGCCTTCATTAAAAGATAAGAATATTTGATGTTGGAAAAGAGGTTCAAACACAGAATGAATAGGTACTCAGTCTAGAATAACATTGCTTTTCTTTCTTATCCCAGTGTTTGGTATTCTGAATGAATGTATGACTTTTTTCAGACAATTTATAAAACTGATACACAGATATGCCAAATAAAAGAATGTTGATACATATTTCTGAATATTGATTGCTGTTAATAGAAAAATAATTTAGACATATTTTAAAACTAGAGACTATCTCAAATGGTATCCTTTTTCTTTTCTATTATTTAAACTGCCCCGTAACCTGATTCTCCTGTTAAATTCCTATTTTTTTAACTTAATAATTAGGAAAAACATATCACTATTTCTAGCATATTTTATCTCCCCTCGATCCTTACAGGGTTTTAATTGGAGTCTTTTGCAAATGGAAGTATGTTTTATCCATCAGTTTCTGTAAGTCTTTGTGGGTACAACCACACTTCCTTTTATTTAAACTTCAAAACCAAAATGCGAACCCTACTTAGTCACCTCTTTCTTTAATTGTCTATGTTATAAGCAGTCCAGCTGAGGGTGTTGAGTGGCAGGATGATTAAGTAAAATTTTAAAAATCCATCATTTAAAGCCCTGGCTGGTGTAGCTCAGTGGATTGAGCACGGGCCTGCGAACCAGACAATCGCGGTTCGATTCCCAGTCAGGGCACATGCCAGGGCTGCAGGCAGGTTCCCTGCAGGCCAGTTCCCAGCAGGGGACGCACGAAAGGCAACCATACATTGATGTTTCTCTCCCTCTCTCCTTCCCTTCCCCTCTAAAGATAAATAAATAAAATCTTTAAAAAAAATCCATCATTTAAAGCTATTAGTGGGCTCTACTAAGCAAGTTGGATTAACAAAATATGACATTATTAGTCTGAATTATTATTATTGAGGATAACCCCAAAGGGTGTCAATAATTTTTATTTTTCATGTCTGGGAATGTTTAAAAGTAGATTTTTATAGTAAATCTTTAATGCCTGGGAGAATTGTGTGATAAGATTTTAAATGCTGGACCCTAATTTTAAAATCTTCTGCTCTTTGAAAGCTCAATGAATCTTCAGCACCGAGAAACCTCTTTCTTGGCTTCCATGCAATGGAGAAGCTCTTTCTGTAGTGCTTACGTGTATCAGCAGTATCTGTTTCAGAGGTGCCTGCCTTTGGTACAGAGGACTTGTGCAACTGTCAGTGTTGGTTAACCCATGGGCTGGCATTTAGATTACAGTAAGGCTCAGACTGGTCTCTATAATACACAGCTATGACCTTTTAAAGGTATCAGCATTTAAATGAGTGATGAGATCTGTTGAGTTGTTGGAAATTCCAATCCATACAGTAGTAAGTTAATTCTAAAACATTTAATGAATTAGGAGAAGAGATTTTATGATGTATCATGAAAATATAGCTCAATTGATTTGGAATCCGCAGTGGGCCAAAAATTTTAATTAAAGGCAGAATTTCATCCCCCCAAATTTTTAATTGAGGAGTTTCCATCCAAATCTTACTCAGCCAAGCAAAACAACCATTTTTCAACAGTCCATTTGAGGTAGTACAAGTGGACAGCTGAAACAAATGTCACTTCCTTTTCTCTGTCCTAAAAATGCAAAAGGTACACTTATTACCACCCTGTCTACTCAAAACCTCCTAAAATTCATTAGTCCAGTTTTTACCTAATTAAACTGAATGTAAATTAGTAAATTATATAAACTGAATGTAAATGTTTCTTTTATGATCCATAATTTTGCAGTACGCCACAGAGCTCCATATTCTAAATATAAATCTGTATTGCAGAGGAGGTGTAGGTGACAGTGTTCACACCAAATACCTCTGAACATAACCCTGAAATTTCTTTTTACTAAATCTCAGATACAGCTTTGACAAGTCTTGTTCTTCTCTCTGAAGTTCTTCCCTTTGAAGAAATAACCCAGTTAACAAAAGTTTCTAGTTAACTGGGTTCCAGTTAATCCACATAATGGGGTTTATTTCTTTTACTAGAAATAATTTTTAATATATTTTATTGTTTATGCCATTACAGTTGTTCTATTTCCCCCTTCATTCCCCTCTACCCTGCACACCCCCTCCCCCACCATTCCCCCCCTTTTTATGACCATGTGTCTCAAGTTCTTTAGATTCTACATTTCCCCTACTATTGCTCTCCGCCCATCTATTTTCTACCTACCATCTATGCTACTTATTTTCTGTACCTTCTCCCCCCTTCTTCTTCTCCCACTCCCCTGTTGCTAACCCTCCATGAGATCTTCATTTTTATGGTTCCGCTGCTGATCTAAGAGATGTTTAGTTACCTGACTTAGAGACAAATCTTCATTATTTTCTCTAACATGGCAGGGAAGGTTGCTTTACTATAACCCATCTGGTGACAGAAGCCATATCAAGCTCTTTAAAGTCACTGTTGTACTGAGTTCCATTTCTTAGAATATTAATATTTTAAATATCTTGTTGAATATGTACCTTTCCTGTTACAGCATCCTTGGTGCCATATCAAAGATTGAGGTCCTTAAACTGACAGTGACCAGAGGGGCAGGGGTAGGGGGATAACAGGAAGAAAGAAGGAAAAGGGGCAGGCAGAGGAACACAAATAGAGGATTCATGGGCAGGGACAATGGAGGGGATTTGTTGTGGGAGTTGTGGGGGATACGGTAGGGATAAGCAATGAGGAAAAGGTGGGGCAACTGTAACTAAATAACAATTTTAAAAAATCAAAAAAAATAAGGTTCTTAAGTTGCACTTTCGCATCACAAGATACTTTTAAAAATTGTGTACAGCTAGAGGGAAAGGGGGGCAGGATAGTTGGAGGTGAACAAAAAGGGAAAGGGGGGAAATGAGGATAGAAAGAGACTTTGGGGCAATGGTACACAATGCGGTGTGTAGATGAAGCTTTATTGAGTTGTACACTGGAAACCTGTGTGGTTTTGCAAACCAATGTCACACCAATAAATTTAATTTAAAAATAGTAAAGTAGTCTAAAAGTTTAAAAACATTATGTATAGCTGACATTTAGTGGATGTAGGTACTGTTTTAAATGTCTTTTACGTTGTGACTTCAATCCTCACAAAACTCTAAGAGGTCAGAACTGCTTTTCCCCAATTTACGGAGGAGACAATTGGATAAAGGTGGATTTAGGAGGCTGCCTAGGTTACACAACAAATAAGTGGAGGAGCTTAAATTCAAAACCAGAGAGTGTGGCCCTAGAGCCCCAACATATTACCATTTGGTCACACTGACTTTGCTCCAAGACTTAGGCATGTGTTGTCCCATTGTCAACAACACAACGGGACAACACATGATGTAACAAAGGCCTTGGAGGTGGAGAGACTTTGGCTCCCATCTCAGTTCCAGACACTGAGTAAGGGACTTCATCACAATTTTCTCTGCCTGTGTAAACAGGAGAGGGTGATTGTACCTCATAACTTTGGGATGAGGATTAAGTGAGATAACATGTGATGTGGCTAGCTAACCCTATCCCTACCTTTCTTCCTGAGCTGTTGATAATAGAACCCCCAGTCCCCAAAATAAAGTTTACATTTTAATGGCCACATGGTAGCCATAATGATCTAAGTAGTAGGCCAGAGATTTAAAAGAGCTTCTCTCTCCATTAGTTCTTTAGAAACCAATTTTCTATCAAGCACAAGTATAAAAATAAAATCCATTATTAGCATTAAAATATACAGTAGCTATTTTGCAAAGTGAAATAAAATATAAAATATATTTTAAAACAATGTTATATCAGGTAACATATCTTTCCTAAACATATTCAAAATAAATTTTTGCTATGTTTCAAGTTTTAACCCAAAAAAGCTTTAAAGAAAACCACAGTTGTACAAAATTAGAAAAAGAGATGAAGTGGTAAATAAATCTTTGTTAATCAAAGAGAATAAAAAATGAGGTACAATACTATCTACAGAATTTCAAAGCAGTTTTTTACTCAGTCCTAATTATCCCAAGAGAGGCCAGGTAACATTATTAATTTGTTTGCTACTTAAGTGTGATAAAATTTGGGATCTGAGCTGCCCATTGTGTTATGTGCACTGCCACAGATTTTATGTACTCAAGAAGACCTTTCTCACAGTCCAGAAATTAGTTGCTATTGACATTGTAATCTTTGTAAATGTCCTTAATGAGCTCCAAAGACACGGATCGCATAGATAAAACCTCAAAGTAACAGTGACTCTTTAAGTGACCTGTCAGGAAGGGAAAGCTCAAACATAAATATCTGAAACACAAGAGGAACCCAAATTTAAACCTAGATTACATTGTGTTGTTAATTCTCTGAGTTTTTAGGAAAGAATCATCGAAGAGGTAATTTAAAGGCTCTTAATAGCAGAAAAATCTCAATATATTTGAAAGAATTTTAAATTCTTACTTTTCCTCCTCTGCAACTTTGGACCTGAAAAGTTCTTTTTTTACTAAGTGTAGTTAAAAATTTATAAAAATAAAATTAACTGAAAGTGTAGTGCATTTGCTCCTTTTTTTGTCTTAAATACAAAAGTAATTTTTACAGTCAAAGAAATTGGAACTTAGCAGATAAAAAGAAAAAAGTTTAGGCATATGTGTTAGCATTGTTTTATATATTGTTTCTAGACTTCAACTATAATTAATATAATGTAAGGATTCATATCCAAACGCATATTTACTAATATTGATATATATACTACATATATACATAAATAATACATAACATTGTTTAGCATGTAGTTGATGGAATAAAAATGGTAGAAGAAATAAATGAATTATGAGTTATATACCAGGACTAACCTGATTTACTAAATATAATGTATTAAGAGGTGTGTAAATGTTAATAATATTACTGCCACCAACTTGTCTACTACTTTTTTTATTGTCACCAATTACCTATTATTCAAATAGCATATTTCTAAGTAATATATGTCATTCTTGTCTTTAAGATTTGGGATGATGCTCAACTACTTTTTCTTAAGAATTTTCCTTATTCTTTATACCTATATTCTAAGGATATTTTCTTTTAATAACATTCCCCGACATTTAATTATAAATTTTAAAAACTAAATT